ATTCCTAAGTTTGATCGTTCGAAGAGGGTGATTATATTATATGTTTCAAATTTGGAATGAATTGTTAAAAAGAATCAAGTGTTCAAGGTGATTTAATCTTTAACACAATGGTAACGGTATGTAGTTGATAAAAATTTTTAAATTTAAATCCCAATAAAGAAATTCCACGAACGAACGAAGATGGTAAATCTATATACGCGATCGAGAGAGAGAGAGAGAAAGGGTCTTTCGAGCGATTTTACCTTCGAGGAAGGCATCGCAATGAGCTTTGGAGAAAAATTTTATAGGGATACTTACGGACGCGTATAATAGACAGTAATGAGAATGATTTACGTTGCAAAAATATCGATTGAGGTTATAGACATTATAAACGTCCGCAAATTTATGATTCGGCTCAAAACGAACATGTTTTCCCTAGAAACTCGACTCGTTTATTGCTCGATTGTACTGAAAATTCCATCGGTCGCCGCGCTATTAATCATCGTGCATCTTAAAAACGTGCAAGAGTTATTAAATTATTCTTTCTTTCTTCTCTGTGTTCCAGCATCCGTACCCTTCGGAAGACCAGAAGAAGCAACTGGCTCAAGACACGGGGTTGACGATCCTTCAAGTTAATAACTGGTAAGTGGTAGTGATTCATTCGCCAACTTATCGTATATTCGTTGCGTTATTGCGGTATTGCTCGCGAGGAGTTAATACGATCCAAGCTGAAATCGAGGACACTTTCCCAACCACTGCTATCTCTCCATCGAGAGAGATACAAATTTCCTTCTTTATTATCCCCGGTTGCGACAATGATATGCAAGTTAAGTCGGTTAAACGACAACTCGATCGGCTAAATACGTCGATCGCGCGAAATACGAGGAATTGTGTTTGACCAAGGGTTCGGGGGGAGGGAACGCGATTGCGCGCCGGATTTCGAAATTCCCGCGATATCTGTGCCCCGCGCAGCCATTAAGACGGAGCCATTGTCGCGGGATTCCTGGCGTGCCCCTTGTCGAAGATAAAGCCACCGTTTCAATGCTGGCTTTTCGCGTTCCGTTCCGAAGGAAAACGATCGAGCCAAGCGGAAAAGAATTTGACGTATCGGCGTGTCGGCCGTGTGGAATTCGATTTTTGCGATTTATAGTCGTTAAGAGATAGAACAGCGCCAATCCGTGGAAACCTTTTCCCTTCCAAATATCAATTATTTCGATCTGTTCAATTCGAGGAGGGAAAGTGCTGTTTGCCTCGAATTAAAATATTTCTTTCATCTTTCGTAAAATTTCCTCAAAATCACACCCCTCAAAATAGTAGCATCGATCGTTTCCCTTTTATTGTATTTTTATATATTCGCTGTTTCGTTCGACCACACGCGAGTAACACGGAGGAAACGAGTATTATCCCGCGGTTCGACGGAAATAAAATCGTAACGCAGTCGATATCGGCTATCCTCCATCGATGTAACGAGACGTTCCAGGAATGATATCTATCGTTGCACGGCTGGCAGCCAGGTAGGCGGCGAGCAGCTTGTAAAACGTTTATGACAGTCCGCTTTATGCACCTTTAATCTCGGCGCGAAGTGCCGTACCGGATTATATTAGCCGCTATTATGTACCGATTTTACGATTTTCGTATCTGGGCCGTCGAAGTAGAGGGGAGGGGAAGGGTGGGGAGAGCGAGAAAGAGAGATTTTCAGAGACAACCAGCCTTCGGTTCCAACCAGCCATTTCTTCCTCCTTCGATCCTCTTCATCACCGTCCTCTTCCCCCTTTTCTTAATTCTCTCTCCTTCTCTTCCCCTTCCTTTCCCTCTCGTCCCTGTTCCTCGAGGATCCTTGTATCGAGACCGAGGAGAATATCGTAAATTTAGCGGAATTTTGACGCTACCGATAAACGCACTCACGGGCGCGTGTACTCGGCTGGAGGATTTTCGGTTCCCGTTCGCCATAAACGCGATAGCGAAAAATGCGCGACAACGCGATCCAATCGCGATCCACACGATTCACCACGGTGTATTCACCACCAGGATCTCGATCGGGAACAGGTTAACCGGCTAACCTCGTAGGTGGCTGCATCCGCTTAGAATGCGGTTGCAGGTGCGGCTGATAAGCGCCCAGGAATTCGAATTCGCTGCCGGTTGCTCTCTTATACTTTCGAAGAGTTCTGTAATACGTTTCTAATCCTTTTTTTATACGAGTCGTTTTTATCTCGAGTCGAATAAATGAACTGTTGCGTGTAAAAAGTTCTATTCTAGAAATAAATTGAATCTTTTATCTTAGAGAAAGAAAGGTTGACTAGATAAAAATTTATAATTCATACTGTTCAAAAATCTACACGCTTTGATCGATTTTTATCATTTGTTCGAGACCATCGAACAATAATCGTTACCAAGAATATTCCAGGAATGCGTCGCTGATATATAAAGCACGTTAAATTTTTTCTTTTTCTTTTTCTCTTTCTTCTTTTCTTTTTTTTCACTCTTCATCGATGTTGGAATTAAAAAGGAAATATAAGAAAGGAGAAAGGAAGGAAGAAAAAAAGTGAAGTACATGCTCGAGATTCCAAGCAACAAGATGGCGAAGTTACATTTTATGGTGATTCGCGTTACCTCGCGGCAATTTGCCGTGCGCGGAATGCCGGTCGAAACGATCGCAATTAATAAACCGGTGCCTTCGTTCCTCTTATGATTCATAATGATACGGTTAATCGTTCGACTGCTGTTTATGGGCGAGCCGAAATTAGTCTCGCGGGATTTTAGTCTTTTACTCTCTCTCTCTCTCTCTCTCTCTCCTTTCGTCTCGTTCTCGTGGAAAACGCGAATTTAATTGCTCGACGCGCCATCTCGGGATTATCGTCGATCAGGTTTGATCAGACGCGTGTGTGTCTGATCCTCGACTTTCGAAACGTTCTCGATGTTGTTGTTGAATGGCGCGTCCTTTTACGACGAATCGATAATTTAGGAGGAAATTGGGAAGGGGACGATGATTGGAAGCGGGGGTTTTTGCTCGTGGGTGGAATATCGAAGGGGATGGCGATTTTAGGGTGTCGGGCGAGACGTCTACTTAACGTTATTGGCCGGAATATTTCTTTTATTTAGTGGATCGGGGCGGTGGAAAGGGTCGAGTATACCGATATAATTTCTTTCTCGATCTATGAACCGGGTGGGATACATTTAATCGGCGCGATAAATTAGATAAATTGAATTTCTTCGTTCTTTCTGGTATATTATCTGCAAGAAAAAATGTAAATTCTTTAATAATTACTAAATTATCGTTAAACGGATCCATTTCTCATAATTTACATTACGTTATATGGAAAGTTTGAGCTCGTTGTATCGAAACACGATTACATATATTTCTAAAATCAACGATTTTATGATTTAACCAAAATGTTTGATTTATAAATATCGCAGAATTTGTTCAACGTTTTGACAAACTGTACCGATCAAACTAAAGTTTCCTCTCATTGTTTCGAATATTTATTATTACGATGAAATATCCATGGAAAGTAAAAATTTCGTTGGATATTTCACGTTACACGAAGGAGGACTCGTTGGAGGAGAACATCGTTGAGAAAAGTTAATTCCAAGCGATCCGTTACGAAACGGAAGGGTTAAGACGAGAGCACCCTCGTGCAAGCTTAGTGCGTCCTGTCCCGAGAAATCCCCCCGTTTCTTCGAGTTGATCCACAATTCTCCCCTCCCCCACTTTTCTTTACAGAGGACGGGACTCTCCCCTCGCCTCGTATCTCGCTATCTTGATAGATGTTTCCGCGTAACACCTGCGCCAGCATCCGAATTACACCGGTCCCTGTTTACCGTGATGTTTAAGCGTCCCTCTTCACCCTTCCGCTCTCGAACAACTTCACGGAAAATACGCGATCCTCCCCCCCTCCTGACCCGTTGTCTCTCTTGCTGAAATTTCGTTGCGTCGGTGGTAGAAGGGGGAAGGGAGGGAGGAGAGGGGATTGGATTCGCTTTGGCCGTTTCACGAAATCCTTTCCCGAATTTATTCCAGGAATTATATTAATAAAGATAAATTGCAAGAATTTTTTGCGAACGCGAGATATTTTCGCGCGAACGGATAGAATGATTATTTTAGGATAAGTGATAAAAAAAGAGATAAAGAATTTGAAGACGCAGTTCCGTCTTCCAATCGAGACTAACTTTTCGTAAAAATAACTTTTTCTAGAAAACAAAAGAAGTATATTATCTGTAAGATCGTTCGAACGAATTCGAGGAATTCCGTTGCCCAATTCCCGAATCTAAAAACGATTTCTTCAAACTACGTATCCTTTGCTTCTTTACTTCTTTCTACCGACGATCTATCGTAAACTTTCCCTCCACCCCCTTTCCCACCTCCATCCTCCAATTTTCCGAGAACAACATCCGCCTAAATTATTCCCGCGAATCCGAGAAGGCCGGCCTCCGTCTCAGGTTCACTAAACCCCACCAAGGATCGAAATAAAATCCTCGTTCACCGATGTCGTCCAGAGGGGGGTGAATCGGCTGACGGGTGGCCGAGGCCGGATATAAAATGCGAAACGAATTGCCCTCCCTTCCCCCTCTCCCTCCTCCCTCCATCGTTGCACGTTTTGTCCGTGCCATCTGCCCGCTCCGCTCCGCTTCGCCACTCGCGACGCCCCGGGGACGCGGGTGGTTTGCGCCGCCGTATAAATAAAATCGTCGCGACGCCTGAACGTCCGAAACGTCCATCCGCGTACGACGACTCGCCTGTAACAAGAAAACGCATACAGAGAGAGAAGCTGCCGGTAATTGAACACAAATCAAGTCTAAGAAGGCTCGATGGAGGAAGAGGGAGGGAGGAGGGGTTAGGATCGTGATTTTTTTCGATTCGACCACGCGGTTGATATTTATTCGGGTGCGCGTTCCAGGGGACGCCCACGCGATGCCACGATAATTGCTAGGCCGCGACGGTCCCGAACGGTGTTAATTGCGCGGCGAGCAAGGAAGGGAGACGGCGCATGCATCTGGTGGCGATGCGGGCCGCGCGGAATTTCTGGCAAGGATCCCTGTTTACAAGCCACCTCGTGCCGCCAATATTTTCTCAGGCGTCTGTCCATATCGCTGACGTTCTCCCTCCTCGTAATTAACCGTAACCGGTGTCCATGCGCAAATTAGTAGCGCATAACTTTTCGCTCGGCTCCGAAATAACCGGCGACTCTGCTGCTCCGCATTCTCCCCGGTCCGGCTTCGAGTTTAAT